TATACGTTGCCCAGGGTGCACCACGTGGAGGTAAGTCATCGCAGACCTCATGCTCTGAAAACAAGAGTATTAAAAGAGTATTAAAAGCCAATTAGAGGCGAATATTAACAGAAAATAGGGCTATGTTCGACTCCTAAAATAACATAAATAGCCAAAGTATAGACAGGGAGAAATTTCATAACATCGAATTCCCAATTTTTTGAGTGCTTCAAAGCTTATCAAAAACATGGATGGTTAATCCACCACGCCCCTAAATGCCGACTGAATGATTATCTAGTTGAAAGAACAAACTTCTAAAAATTGTCCAAGTCAAGTAATGTGTCTATTATTAATATTATTATTCCGTCAATACGGTAAATACTGTTGTTAGACAAGCTAATTTTTACTTTGTATTCTGCGAAAGAAAACGCCAAAATGAAAAAATAAAGTATAGGGATGCTCAATTCATGGCATTATAGAAATCCGATATGAATGTTTTGTCGATTTTACAGCATCATAATTCAATTTCAGGCTTCTCAACCTTAGAATTTACCAAAATGCATTTCAATTAACGCGGAGTTTTGATCATTACAGTCCATGTATGCACTCCAAATAAATCGTAGAGGTCATTCAGAAATGTGTCATATTAACACCACCTAGGTCGAATGTATGGTTAAGGACCCTGTAAATAGCCGGATTTGCGACACTTTGAACGGATTTAATGTCATAGAGATTACTTTACTTCTAGTCATAAGTTTGCCTTGTGTCCTCAAACGAACATGTTTCCTCCCTCTCGCATTAAGTTTATTGTTATCACTCAGTCACTATAGTCGGCCCTGTGAACAGGTAACTATGGCATTTATCCCGAAAAATTCCAAATTGAAAGAGCAAAATTTAAAGAGTTGGTACAGTATACAAACATTTAAGTAAGCAATCTGGAGGATATGTATGTACAAAATAGCACTTTACAATTGCAAAATAGATGATGGAAAATTAGTTGTGATGTTCGTTATGCCTGGAAGAGTCGGCTACTTTTAACGTTGCTGTTAAACGTCCATCTAGGAGTTTTCGCATCCCATCACAATCGAGTTTTGAAGAGGGTATGTGTTCAACTTCCAGCACACGATCTCCACGATTCAAAAAGTTGTTTTTCTCTGAGAATTTTATTAATCCTATCCGACTCACTATCATGCCTAAAAGGAATAAAAATTATGAATAAACAATTACGGAAGCGCATTATTCAGTCTTTGTGGAAAGAATATTGATCTTACCTTTATCCTCATCATCTCGAACATAGAGTCCGAATTGAGCAGAAGGGCAGGCTCGTCTCAGCTGAACCACTCGGCTTCCATCAGGAAACCTTTGAAGGAGTGTACATGTGGTAACTTCGCTTGAAGAATTAGTTGGCTTAGCAATTTTCATGGGGCTTGGGATATCACGAAATAGAGCTCTTGATGGGAATTTGTCTGTGCTTATTGAACTTTTGAGGCTGGTAATTTTCTTCTTGATTGATGATAGAACCCCACCTCCGTTAGCACTTGAACTCCTTCGTTTAGATTTCTTTTTATCTACTGTAGGGAGAATAACTTCATTAATAAGAAATCTCAAGTGAGAATAAGTCAAATACTATTGATACTAACTCTCAAGGGGGGATGTCTGTGAAGCGATGGACCGACGACCAGGGAAATCCAAATCAAGATGAGGCTGAGGAGTGAGGAACGATGGTGGCATTGGGACAGGGCACACAGGCGCAAGAGATGTTTCAGGGGGAGTTGCTGACGGGTTGAGGTGTTTAAAGGGAGATGGGATTCCCCTGAGTAGTTTGAGTCCTTCTGCCCCCATGACAACATGAGCTCGCTTTGGGGGTAAGACAGGGGAGCAGCAGCACGCACAGGGAAAGTTTCCACAATTCTCAACATCTTTCTTTTGATCAAATAGATGACTATTGTTGCGCTTAATTCCTACAATTACGGGAAAGTGCTGTTTTAAACTGCTTTTCTCCACACCAATTGGGGAAGGATTCTTAGAAAGGACGTTTTCATCTATTGATCCCGGTGAACCTGTTGACTGAGAACTACATTCCGCAGTACTCAAAAGACGAGAGCTATCTTCACTATCTGTCCAGTAGGTCTTGGGTCCATTTCGACCATCAAGTTTCCTGTTAGTAAAAAGAGATCATTAGAATATTCTCAAGGATTGTATATGTTGACGGTAAAATGCTTGATCACTTACTTTTTAGACATATGTGGTGTCGAAGAAGAGTTAGGAAGATGAAAAGCCTTTAATGGACCTCTAGGCTTGTCCGATTTCGTCCTTTTGAGGGGAATACTTGAAGACATCTTTAGTATTTGGTGATGAATAATAGGTCAGAATCTGGTGGATCTGTGAATCTATCTGTATAAATGAAATGTGGCTATGTCTTTTATTGCAGGTTTAACTCATCATATATTAGTAACCAATTAGAACGTAGGGATCTCGCGTCGATCTTATGATTGGCTATCGCAAAACCACCTGTTAGCTAATCAGATTCGTGCGTACTACCACAAGTATTACTTGAGGAGGCGTATATATTTTGCAAGATTATAACTGAGTTTTTGGATGAAAATTACTGATACCATTAAACACATTTAAAGAACCAAATAAAGAAAGGCAAGCAGAGGCGTTTTGTAAATGTTAACTTGGCTAAATGTTCAAGTAGACTTATTTTTGATTTTCTCGCATTTAATAAGTATTTGATTTTAAATTCTTAAAGAATCAAACATTGTAAATTTTGGCTCAATTAGTACGATCGGTATTCCACGAATAACTAGACAATTTTTTGTTATAGTAATTGTCTCGGATTAAAATAATCCCAATAAATGTTTATTTAAGAAGCTTATAAATTTTTGTGCTTTAAATCGTCCGTTTGTATGTTGGAGTAGAAATCTTTGTTTAATCCCGACTGTCTACAGATTTCTAACATTTCTGCATACCAAAGTTAATGTAGATGCTTAGCCATTTTGAACTTTCCAGTTCAGAATTCTGAGGTGAAATTGAATATATTTCAAGTGGTTACCATACTTAATGAATATAAATGAGCAAATGTTCCCTCAATCTCTTCTTAAATCGATTTCTAAGATAGGATTTAGTCTTGATTTTGACAATAAAAACTGTTATTTACGATTTTGGATAAACTATCTCATGATTTTTCGTCGCCTTTGTAAATTGCTAAATGTTTGCATCGGTACTTGAATGGAAATGTGAATTTTATTCTGTTATAAATACAAATAGGGAATATCAGGAATTCTGGTACATCCTTCACCGAATATTGGAAGGGCCAGTTTTGGGTCGAAAAAATAAGCTTCGGCGAACCTAGATCAACGAGACAAAGTGACACAGCAAATACCTTGAAGAAGAGATCTTATTTTGCTATTATGCTTTTTACCTATGGCAATACAACTAGTGTTATTTAACAATGGTTTAGAGTATGTATGCACTAAAAGTGGGGTGTGCAATAGACTTATCTTCACGTGGTGCACCCTGGACAACGCATTCTCATTCGCCAAAAAAGACTATTAATTGGCAGGTGACTACTCACTTCAAACTACCACCACCCCACTGTATGTCATATTCCACTACTTCCACAGTAATCACCTCACCTTTTTTTTCTACCTTTGTGTCTGTTTCTTTTACATCTTTGAAACACTCTTCTGTCCACCCCCCTCCTCTCGACTATTTTTACTTTGATGTTCCTTCCTCTCTGTGGAGCCTGAAGCCAACTAAAGGGCTAATGATAACTGTCATAACGCTTGTCATTTAATATAAATAAATGAATAATTGTATTAAAATTACAAACTGGAAAGAGGACTCGTGTCATCTGACAACTCCAAGGTATCAATTGGCCAGCGAATGCACGGATTTTAGTAGAGTATTTAGTGGAGAGAAAATGGTTGGAAACAAGTGAATTTCCGTCGGGAATCGAAAATTTACATTTAGCCAAGTGGCGACTAGGGACTCATTCTTCTTCTTCTTCTTCAAATTCCATTTTTGGCGATTACAGGTTCAGCATTCAGCCAAAAACAAAATCGAGTGGAGGTTGTTGCAAGTTATGTACCCAATAGAGAGAATGGAGAATTCAATCGGCATCTTAAAAAAAGGCTTTCAAAGATTGCATTTCGAAAATCAGTACTTATATGCCATGAAAATAATTCCCATTTCTTTGAATAGATCGAATTCTTGACCTCCCAATGAAACCCGGCTGTGATTAAAGGCATCCATATTTCGGATACGTCTCCAATAAGTACGAGATTTGTTACGCCCCTCCCCCCCCCCACCCCCACCCCCCTTCCCCCACTGAATTTATTTCACTGTAGGAGACAATTAAATTACTAATATTCCAGTATTTCTTCCCACTTAAGACCTAGTTACCTATAGCCCAACAAAGTCCGTCTATAGAAAACCCCTTTTCAAAATTTTATGAACAAGAAGGAATGAATTACCCACTAAGGAGATGGTATTCAACTCTGCTTATAGTCTTAGCAACTAATGGATCCATACCTATAAATGTCGTATAGCACATACAAACCAGCCAATAGAAAGTTGAGGTTTGAAAATTCCTAATTAATTGGAGAAAAAGGTGTGGGAGGCTCTATGATTTCCTTTGCTCCATTTTGCCGCTCTTTTTGAGGCTATAACTTGAAATATTTGGTTCTCGAGGTTACTCTTATGAGCAAAATTTTATCTACATCTTTTCTTTTACCATTCTTCCATTCTTCTATTGAATATAACCAGTTCAGTTACCCGTCGAAAATGCTCCTTGCTATGATTATCATTCATCGGATCAATCTTATCACCCCTTATTAGACTATTTACTATTACCTCTCCTCAATCATATTATAATATACATAAGAAGCTAATATTATCTGCTTCTTAAAATTTATTTTCAAACACGGTCGATATTTTAATATATTCACTAATATCAACATTTACAGACGTTAAGGAGGGTCTTTTTAAGGGTTAAATTCGGAGGAACAGTGGTCTAAGGATGATCGTTAACCAACAATAGAGCTAAGCCTTGTTGGAATGATTAGAGTCTGAAAAATCGGTGAATTAGGTGAAATTTAAGCAGACAGTTGGGCTCCTGCGAAGTTAGCGGAGCCCATAGTGAAGGTTGTTTGGACGAATGAAAATTATCAGTGCTGGCAGCACACGCTTAGCATTGTGCGTCATCGCATCCAACAGGCATTGTAGGTCCCGTCTTAGGCATTTCCCACGTGGCTGTCTCAATTGTAGGGATGAAGAGATTTGCAGGGGGGGTGGGGAAGGAGGTTGGGCCAGACTCCCGGCTCCCCTGACACCTTTTTTGCTCCTACTCCCTAGTCTAATAAGCATCGCCAGTCAATTCCACGTGGGAGCTGAACAGCCAGGGCACCAATGTATACACGTCCTCCAGACGCGATATCTAGGACGCATGTGCGTGTGTGCTGGGAGAAAGGGGAGTAATGATCCGGAAACCCACACGCGTGGGGTCCAAAAAAGACATAAATGCGGCTTTAGCTTGCTCTTACCCCCCTCTCTCTCCCTCTCTGGCTCAAATTCAGGTGACTTACCTCTGAACTATGCTTCCTCCTCCACGTGGTTTTTTTGGGTATCTTTTTATGACTTTCAGTTCTACCTGTGTGCCGTCATGTGCAAAGTGAATTCACTTAAAACTGTCATTATTCATACAATGGTTTCGTCCTTCTACTAGTACATCACCTGTTCAAACTCTCAGTATTAAAGAAAAGTTAAAGCAGCTGCTACTTGGAGGTTGTGGAACTCCTAACCCCCCCCCACCCACCTCCAGGTCTTCTTTTTCTTTCTCGAATATCAAATTGAGGATGAGGAGATTAGTCAGAAGGCATGTCCTAGTTATCAGGATAATAAGTTCACAAGGTAAAATTTCAAGTAACTGAGAGTCACTTTTTTACATACAGGGTGTCCCAAAAAACGTATACTCATTGAAACTAATTTTAAACGTGGCGTTCAATTAGAATTTTATCATTTCAAAAGCGTCAAAATATTTTACAAGTATATTTCTTTTTGTTTTTCACTGATTCTTCTCAAACTGACGTCCATTTTAACCCAGACACTGCTGACAGCGACAAGTAAATGGAATCGCCCACATCGTGAAATAATTCCCTTGGGATTTGGACACATTCATACTCAATTATTTTAAGTGTGTGCACATATATATATGTCACTGTCAGTTATAATGCAAACACCATCTAAAAGGTAATTTTCTAACCTACTGGAGTATTTAATATTAGTATAGGTGCTGTAGTCTTCACGACATGTACTATATGAAAAGTTTTCCTGGTTCACAAATCCGAAAATGACTTTTATTTATCAAGGTGCCAAGTAAATAAGAAGTAAAGCTCACACAAGGTCAAGACTAGAGTAAAATTGAATAATCGATCAGGAAACGCTTTGGTTACATCAGCGTACATCTTAGTATAATCAGCCAGCAATGCTGATTCTCAACTTTTTAAAAAAGCACAAAATCCTCAAATCAATGAATTCAGTCGAAAGCTGTGGAAGACAACTAGGTCAACAATACCTGGCTGCTTGTTCTTTGAATAGAACGGGGTTAGCAAGCCCTACTGGTGCCCTTCAAAGTTAAATGTCAAATTTTGAAAAAAACGATGCAGGAGTGTAGATTTATTAGAGTTGATAAGTGAAGAGAAATTGTCCTAATCAAATGACTAACGTCTCCTCACTCCGCATCCTCTGAGTTGAAGCTATACATAAACTTGACCAAATGGTGTAATCTATTCCATCTTTTTGAGCCAAAATCATTTCATAAACTGCGAATTACACACGATAACTCGCTTAACAAGTATATTGCCACTGAAAGATACTTTTTCCAGTTTGATTGTGGCTTAAACTGCATTAAACTAATGTGAGCATTGGATAATGATAGGGCCGTTTTACATTAACCATCTTGGTCCTTAAAAACCACAAGTTTAGACAAGGAAGGAAAAATCATTTCAAATTTTTTTGGGGTCACGAACTGGAAGGAAACACAAGGGGAGGTCGATCTCTCCATAAAATGCTTAGCCAGGGGGTAGTGAAAGATCCAGGCAGTTCTAAAGACGTAGTCTGGGGAAAGCATCAAATCGGTTTTTTATCACCCTGTTCAATCTCCTGCCCCCCCCCATCCTCCTTCCGTCTGTGTTCAAAATCACCCCAACCCGGTGCAGGTGACTGCTAACTTTCAGTTGACCTCTCCCTGTCTGCGTTCAGTTGTCGACTGCCGTTCAACCATGTCACAGCTTGTTAGTAATCTCCATCTTTCTTGATTGCTCTATATCGCCCACAT